ACTCGTCCAGCTCAAACCTTTGTAGGGGTAAGAGGTGGGACCATCATCATCATCATCATCAAGAAGGGCCCTTATCGGGCTTGTTGGTTACTTGGGAGCATTTTCACTTAGGACCTCCCTGAATTGCCTCAGAGTTCCACAAATCTTTGTTCGTTGATGACATAGGCATTTCGGCTAAAGGAAGAAGTCTTCGTGTTATTTGCAGCAGACTGCAGAAAAGTTTAGATATTTTCTCTTCTTATTTACAAAAATGGAAGATTTCTCCCACCGCTTCCAAAACTCCACATAAGCCTAGAGCTTCCTTTTTTCCCTGCACTTTGGTCAGATAGCGTATAGGGCGTCGTTGTGCCAATTTGGTCGTGGCACATTTCGAGTATGAGAGAGTGATTGCAGTTTGCTCAAAAGTGCCTGAGTAAAATGCAAGTATGATTACCCGTAGTTGTTATAGTGAAGATATACATCCAAATTCTCGTTTATGCCTGGACGTGTTTGCCATTCAGAAACATTTTTATTTGTTTTTGTGTGGTGGATGGGTGATAATATTAGCAACATGATGGATAACATTGAAAAATTGAGAATTGTTTCGCTTCAGTTTGAGCTAAGAGGAAAATGTGACAGTTGACTTCTTCCTCTTTTATTTCTATCTCTATCTCTATCTTTATGTATCTCTATCTCTATCTTACGCACATGAAATCGGCTGGTTCACGTTTGACAGAAAAGTGGTTCATTTTCAATGACATTTATATAAGGTCTGGGCCAACAGGCAGCTTGCTGGTGTTAGAAGCAAAAATGTTGTAAACATTGCTGAACATCTGCGAACAGATATATATATACGTCACTACCAACATACTGAGAACAGATAGATATACGTCACTGCCAACAGCTGTTTCGTGTAAAAAGATAAACATTGCAATATAATACGAACACCACTAACCATTTGCACATTTCACAACACCAATAAGCCCTTTGACCCAGACCTTATATAAACGTCATTGGTTCATTTTCGCCCCGTATTGTCACCTCTTCTCTTAGAGTTTGAGAAGCACTTCACTTCGCAACCGATTAACCATTCTGACGGCCTACTTACCGTGCAGGCGCCGTGTGTTGGCAGGGTCCAATATTGGACAGTTTGATGTTTTAAAGTACCATCAGTTAAAACTGTATTTTGAGCTTTATCTCTATACATTCTTAGGTGTTTCTTAGAAGATTATCATGTTGGTGTACGCTGATTCAAAAAGGAAATGGTATTAACATTGAGCTGTCCATAGTTGGGCGTTGTTGAACATGTGGTACTTGCACAACATTTCATGTCAGTACCAAAGTAACCATATAATCACAAAATAGCTTTAGGTGTGGGTTCAGAGTGAGACAATGCCACTGAGATATAGTTAGTTGAGTATTCATATGAAACTATTACTTTAAAAAAACTAATCCTGGTTGTATCTCTTTTTCGTTTGCATGTAACACTGTTTTACTAACCGCACCGAGCCTTCATTCCTGGTGGTGAGCGAACCTGTAGAAGAAGAAGATAACCATGAGCCCCTTCGCGGAACGAGTGTTTTGTAAGTGGACCTGATCTGCGATTCAAGGTTGGATTCTGTAATGGTGGATATTACATAAAAGGTAAAATAGGTAGCAGCATCTTTATCGAGATGTAGGTATTATTGACAATAATCATAACTAGATGATATGCAAATTTATATGATAGGTACCTGGATCAACGTTGTTTAAACATGCGCATTCAATCGCGACGGCATCTAATTCTGCATTTTACAATATCACTGCAGGCAAGCGTGTGAAGCATGTGAATCAAATTCATCAGTACGTACAGGGGCTTATGGTAGCAAAACCCCAACAAGGAAATCAAGCAATCCAATAGGAATTTGACCTGGGCCCAGGTCAAGCAACCGCTCAGAATAAAGGTTTCTCATGTTGGCCCTCTGCACCTCTGGAGGTTCCCAGGATACTTGAGTGAGTGAGCACGTGAAGAGGGACGTAACCCGCAGGAGCGGGAATGAAAGCGGAGATAGCTCATTCAGCACAACAAGTCGGCGAGCTGTTTTTGTTCTTCTGTTTTCAGAAAAACAACAAATACTCTATCGCTCTTCTCTATTCTTTTATTCCCTTACTATCCCCTACAAATCTGAAGCTAGTGGGACTGCCTACGGGAGCAACAGGCCTGCTGGTGGAAGAAAGTCGTTATGCTATACGGTCTAGCATAAGCCACGACCAAAATTTCCGTAAGTTCACACCTAGTTTAAGTGCAGATGGGCGGGTGATAGTCGGTCAGGGTGTGAGCTGAGCAGTGTTGGAAAAGTTCGCGATATTTCACGAAGTTCACCAAGGGAAAAGTTCGCGAGTCATAGTGAGTTTTCGCGAACTTTTCCATCACTGGAGCTGAGCAATAACAATAACAATAAGCCTAGAGCTTCCTTTTTGAGTCTAGTAGTAGTCACATAGTCACTATGAACCGAGGGGGACGACTCTATCTACGATGCAGGAAATATTGTGTTTTGCTTTGGCTAGCTGCGCGTACGCTGAGTAGATAGAAAGAAGATTTATCACGATTTTGAAGATTTCTTGCAAGAAGATGATGCGCGATGCAAGTAGATGCGAGAAATTAAAGAAGATTTTTCGAAGATTTATTCGCTAGTGTGGGATTTTTTGAGCATCTAGAATTGAGATTTAGATGTGTCGCCCCCCTCGCTATGAACGGAGCTCCAATTTCTTGACAAGCCAAGTGAAATATCATGGATTAGTACTTGACCAAAAATTAACTTTTAAAGATCACATTGAGGGCATTCAAGTCAAATGTAATAAATAGGGGAAATGGATGTAATGTCGGCCTAAATGCCCCTTATTTGGGCCCTACATAAATTCAGCAATCGACAAAAGTTTTAATAGCGACCAAAAATAACATTGATAAATAGCAGATTTTTAGCGATGGGCCCAATCTTAGATCCATAGGCCAACATTAGAGCCATTTCCCCTATATAAAATGTTTGTATCCTCTTATAAACAGGAAATCCAAACTTTGCCTGAAGAATAAATTTCTAATATTTAAACAAGTTTACAAGACTGGCCATGCTTTATGCTGTGCCAATATGGTCTAGTTTTTGCACTAGAGGAAACGCTCCTATAGTTGCGGTACGTTAGAAGCGTTAGGTTCCTATAGTTGTGTATGGAGTCTGCATACACAACTATAGGAACCTAACGCTTCTAACGTACCGCAACTATAGGAGCGTTTACCCTACCAGGAAAAAAGCACTTCAAACGATGATTTTGAAGCTGCCTCCCTGGTACAGTAGGGTAGAGCACTACTTAGGCCTAATCGCCCATTTTGGCCTATCGAGCAGAAAACATCAAATACATCCATTGTTTCAGAGTTAACAAGTCAATTATGCGTTTGGTACGATACTTTAGCTCAAAAGCTACCGAACGAAGTCAATGAGAACGCGAATCAATTTTTATCTTAATCCGATAAGCCGAAGTGAATTCAATGGCGTTTGAAAGGCGTTCCAATGCATTTGGCCTAATTTAGAATCCGTAGACCGACTTTGGGGTCAAGAAACAGTGTTAGATTTTTAACAATATCTCAAAAATTTGTTTCTTTTTAGCAAATCTTACGGAACGTACGGAAAGGTAAATAAATTTAGAAATCATCTGCAGTGAAAACATTCCATTTTGTGAAAAAAAAAAACCACTCGAAAAATAGAGGCAAAGAGCGGGTTCTGCTTAGTAGGCCCAAAATTAGAACTAAGTCCTATGTTTATTCTAAACATGCTTTTTATTTTATTTCAAATCAAACAGAAATATTCATACATATTCTACATTCATGATGCAGTAGCATCGAACGACCGCGTAACGAACGTAACGGAGAGCCCCACCTGAAACTGTTTCTTAAATAAACCAATCTGAAGTCAAATCCTACTCTTTCTAAGCTTCTAAAGAAAGATCTTTGTTTTCTGTCCGCCAACTTCCATTGTATAGGGGAAATGGATGTAATGTCGGCCTAAATGCCCCTAATTTGGGGCCATACATAAATTCAGCAATCGACTAAATTTTCAATAGCGACCAAAAATATACATTCGTACCGTCCCAATAAAATCGATAAATAGCAGATTTTTAGCGATGACCCCAATCTTAGATCCATATGCCAATATTAGAGCCATTTCCCCTATATCCCGTCTTTTCTCCCCGTAGGTTGGGAAGTTTTTTCGCCCTAGGAAACGACCCTAACCTCACTAAGAAGCACTCGTGAGATCCTCTTGGTCTCATTCAGATACTTACAAACTTTCATGCAAATTCAAGAGCAAAATTTCATTACGTCGAAAGTAACAAAGGTAAACAAAGTCGAGCTATCAGTGTCAAACGATGCTCCTGCTATTACACTATATACTGTCCGAATATAGGATCACATCCCATTTTTAAATTTATTTACCAGTCAAATTGCTTTTTGACGTAATCACCTTCCGATCAAAATAGTTTTCAATGTTACTTAAGTCACCCGATTTCTATGGAGATACTTAAGTAACAGCGCTGAGAGACCCGTGAAAAGTGTACTTTCGTCGTTTCGCTTTCTCATAATTAAAGTGAATAAATCGAACTGTTTGTTGTTAAGATGATTTCGGTGGTCCTAAAATGATGAATGGGCTGCACGTAAGGAGACGTAATTGATAATTCTCCCGAATATCCTGGTAAATACACTTTGACTTAAGTAACAATAGGGGCCACCAAACGACGTATAATAACTTTTGACTTAAAAACCAGTATTTTTTAACATGAAAGCTAGCGATTTGCATTTGTATGATTAGAACCCTGCTATATATGTTAAAAATTGCTATCACTATGAGATTATACGAGTTTAATTGAAAATAGGAATAACTTTTCGGTCATCAAAACAAAACTTTATTTTTCTCGGATTGGTGCGAATGTTACTTACGACATAATGAAAATTTGCTCTTGTATTTGACTTTAATTTTCCAAAAATCGCCTTTTCATGTTTGGGTGTATGTAGTTTATCCCAATATGTGTAAAATTGATAAAAGTGTCCTAGTAAATTGAACCAACCAAAGCATTGGTAGTTGATGCACAGGAGGTACAACCCATCCAAAACCCTTCCACGCCCACCGCTGAAGCTGTAACGTTACCTGTCAAGATGTCGTGATATTTTGAGTCTGCGCAAATGTCGTACAAATTACAAAACTGTCAGTGTTTCAAAAACTGTCATCGATGATGGTAAATAGCTTTTTTCCCGGTAATAACAATAATAATAATAATAATAATAATATCCGTATAATAACATACCACAGAGCGCCACGTACCACCTGAAAACATGGCTCGATTAACCTACGGTTTCCGTTCCACGCCGGGCGGGGCAGCTCTGGCAAGCGTCCAATAAACGAATGCTTCTAAAAATGTCTGCTTTCTATTATTTGTTGCTTATCTTTTGCATTTAAAAATTGTACTCTCGGTAGCGTGACTTTTGCGACTGCTGTTTTAGCTGATGATGAGAATGATTATTGCGATGATTATGCTGTTGCTGGTGGTGATTGCTGCCACTACAGGTGGTGGTGGTGGTGGTTGATGGCTATTTCGAGCTGGAGATGCCCGAAATCTCGGGCCCGGTTTCGGTTGGGCCCTCCACGCTGCACACCGAGTCCTCCGGTGTGCGGGACGGTTCTGCTTCGGTCACTTCCACTTCGCTGACCGCTGGACGATTGTTGCGATGTTTGGCGCTTAGTGCCTGAGGGGTTTGCAGGAGAATGGTTTCGTTAGTGTTGAATAGTTACATAAGACTTTTGAGTTGCACTATAAGAGCTTTATTTTTTTGATTTGTTTTAAATGGCTTTTCTGTACAATTATTTACACTTGCGATCTGCGATTTAACGTTGTGAATAGCGAGGCGAAACTATAAGACTGGGGCTTGTTGAGTGGTAGTATAATGAAGGATTCAATTGTTAATCCAATTCAGGCACTTATTGGATTTATTGAGTGGAAATGATTTTGATTTATGATTTATTATAGTAGTCTACTGAAATTCTCACACAAGCTTCCAATAAATTGCGTAACCATCAATCTTGGTAAAATTTCGCTAATAATCCGCTACCACTACCATACAACAACAAGCATTACCCAGTAACGAAAGGCCTAAATGAAAAGAAGCAAAGCGCTATGTATTCATGTAGCAAGTTAGACGCGCTGTTTCCGTGCCAGCCATCATACGAAGCGTTCATTTGCAAACCATAATACGTTTCAGAGCTTATTGCGTGGATGGCCAGAATGTGCCTGCTTGCGATTGCTTTAATTAATCCCCAGCTTTAATTAATCCCCATCTCTCTCTGTCATGTTCTTCTTGTTGCTCCTGAAGGCGGCCGGCGTAGTTCCTAGATATATGTAGTTCCGGATGTAGACTCGAGTGGCACCGGTCGACCTATTACATGCAGCGAGAGTTACGACGGATGGTGCATTATCTAGACCCTTGTTACGCTTCTTCGAACATGGGCTTTCTCGTCCTTTTCATATCCGTGTACAAGAGTAGTGTGAATGTATGTCGGATGGGTAATGTGTGAAGCACTCAACCGCGGTTTTGTTCGGTTTATCAATTAAGATCACGTTTTCCGGCAGTGCTTTCGAAGGCAGAATATCAAACTGTGTGCTCCTGTTGAGTTTGTTGGTGCGTATTAAGTGTAACGAGGATATCCTCTCAAACGACGTTTGAGAGTTCTAATTATGCTGACGTTACAGGTGAAGCATATAATTGGGCATACCCAGAGAGTAGGAGTGGGTTTCCGAACGGGATTTCATAGTAGAAAGAAAAGTGGCAGACTAAGGGTGGTTCTAAATGAAAAAAGACAAAAACAAAAACAAACTTACTTTTTAACTATTATACCAAATGACTTTAAATTTTTAGAGAAGATTGTATTATTTCATGATGCAAATACGAGCTACATTAGCAAAAATAAAATTCAATTAGTTAATTTATACTTCTTTAAAATACTGCTTTTGTTTGACGGAAAGGGGTTGATTTTCCATATGTTTTGAAGGGTTTAGATTTTTTAAGTCAAAATGAGCCGAAATTTTGAAGTGTAATTTTTAACCGTCGAGCGTCTGTCCACCAGGAGGTGCGGCTCGAACAGCGTCTGTCTGGGATCCAACGGCTGAAAAAGAAATGCTGTATTGTGTTAGCTAAATCCAAGATGGCAGCCCCATCTACACAATAACCCGAGCGTCTGTCCACCAGGAGGTGCGGCTCAAACAGCGTCTGTCTGGCATCCAGCGGCTGAAAAAGAAATGCTGTATTGTGTCAGCTAAATCCAAGATGGCAGCCCCATCAACACGATGTAGGTATCGCGACCCTGGTACTGTAGCATACTGAATTATAAAAGTACTCAGAAAAATGAAGTAAGAAGAAGAAAAAACGAACGGAATCTTCGGCAACTGACCAAACGGCATCGAAATAAGGACAACGAATGGACACTCGGTTCTTGGAATGTCAGAACGTTAAATGAGTGGGCATTCTGGCCCGTGAACTGCAAAAGGTGAATGTGAGTGTGACTGCTATTCAAGAAGTACGGTGGCTTAGATCTGGAGAACGTGAATTCAGGGCGGTAGATCGTTCAAATACCATATCTACTACAGCGGTGGCGATTGAGTAGTTGGTTTCGTAGTGATTGGGAAACAGATGAAGCGGGTTATGCGGTGGAAACCGGTTAGCGAGCGCATCTGCGTTTTGAGGATTCGTGGCAAATTCTTCAATTACAGCCTGATCAACATCTACGCACCGACTAACGATAAATCCGATGACGTGAAGGACGCGTTTTTTGAAAGCCTGGATAAAACCTATGATGAGTGCCCTAAACACGACGGGAAGATTGTCATCGGAGATGCAAACGCGCAGGTCGGAAGAGAGGAATTCTTTCGCCCAATCATTGGAACAGAGAGCCTTCACTCTGCAACGAATGATAATGGCCTGAAGCTCGTGATATGGCCATCAGTAGCACCCACTTTGCACGCAAAGATATCCGAATGCACATCTGGAGGCACCCTAATGGCGAAACTTGCTCCCAGATCGACCACGTGTTGGTGGATGGTCGGCATCAGGGTTACTTCTACTCATTTGCTATAAAAAAATGTTTTTCGGAATTATGAAATCATGAAATAGTATAATGCTAGTTAGTACTTGTAAGTTACAAGAAGAGGCCATGAAGTATAAGTTTGACACATAAAATTTGTCAATATTGCTTGCAGTGCGTCACAATCAGCGATTTTACGACTCGTGAGCGCTCACTCTGAGTGAACGCTCGCGAATCATAAGATCGCTGATTGTGACGCTTTGAAAGTGGAATTGACAGGTTTTATGAGTCAAAAACATACTTTACACCCTCTTCTTGTTACTTACAAGTACAACATATCATTATAACATCTAATGATTGCATAATTCCGAAAAATATTTTTTTATAGCAAGTGAGTGGAAGCAACCCTGGTCGGCATTTCCCGGATGTCGTAGATGTCAGGACCTTCAGGGGTCCTAATATCGACTCGGGTCACTACCTCGTTGTCGCGAAAATTCGAGCGCGTCTATCGACCGTTACGAGTTCGAGAAACCGGAGATCGATGCGTTTCAACATCCAGCGTTTGACAGTAGATGGTGTTGCTGCAGAGTACCACCAGAAGCTGAATGAGCGGATAGCGGAAATCAACGTGAACGAGAATCTCAACAATCTGTGGGAAGCTGTCCACGGAGCGGTGAGCACAACAGCACGAGAGGCGCCCCCGGAACGGGTGGTTTGACAGAGGAGAAGAACGTCGCCAGAAGCCGGATGTTGGTGTCTGGTACCCGTCAGAACAGAGCGCGGTACAGGGTATCAAGGTCAGCCGAGAAACGAACCCATCGCAGGAGAAAAAGGCAGTACGAAGAAACGCGTTATTGCAGATGTGCAAGAAAGTATGGAGCAGAATGATATGCGAAGCTTTTACGCAACTGTCAATGGCGTGAGGAGTAAGACAGCGCCGTCTCCCGCCATGTGCTATGACCGTGAAGGTAATCTGCTGACAGATAAAACGATGGTGGCTGCCAGGTGGAAGGCGTACTTCGAGACGTTGCTGAACGGAGAGAACGAGAGAGCATCTACAAACAGAACACACATCGACGACGATGGTCAAGCTGTGGAACTACCAACGCTAGAAGAGGTGAAAAAGGCGATACGAGAGCTGAAAAACAGTAAGGCTGCGGGGAAGGACGAGCTGCCGGCCGAACTTCTCAAACACGGAAGTGAGCAGCTGCACCAGATGATCCACCGTGTACTGCTCAAGATATGGGAGGAGGAAGAATTGCCCGCTAGTTGGTTGGATGGTCTCGTTTGTCCCCTCTACAAAAAGAGACACAGACTGGAGTGCGCCAATTACAGAGGAATCACGCTTCTGAATTCGGTGAACAAAATATTATCACGTGTTCTGTTCAACAGATTGAGACCCCTTGAGGAATCCTTCGTCGGCGAATACTAGGCTGGTTTTCGTGAGGGTCGATCAACGACAGATCAAATGTTTACCCTGCGTCAAGATTTCAAGGCAGCGTACGATTCAGTAAAGAGAAACGAGCTATGGCAGATAATGCAAGAAAACGGTTTTCCGACGAAACTAATTAGGCTGATTCGTGCAACGCTGGATGGTTCGAAATCATGTGTACGGGTTGCAGACGAGATTTCGGCCTCGTTCGTGACCTTAGATGGGTTGAAGCAGGGAGATGCTCTTTCGAACTGGCTTTTCAACATCGCCCTCGAAGGAGCGATTAGGAGAGCTGGCGTGCAGAGGAACGGTACCATCATCACAAAGTCGCACATGCTCCTTGGTTTTGCAGACGATATCGACATCATCGGAATCGACCGTAGAGCAGTGGAAGAGGCGATAAATTCTATCAAAACGAAGTACATGGTCGCCGGTAGAAAGCGTGGGAGCAATAGTGGTGTTGGTAGTGAAGTGGTGCTAGATGGCGAAAAATTTGAAGTTGTGGACGAATTTGTTTATCTTGGTACTTTAGTGACGTGCGATAATGATGTTACCCGAGAGGTGAAAAGGCATATTGCAGCTGCGAACAGGGCTTTCTACGGGTTGCGTAGCCAGCTGAAGTCCCGCAGCTTGCGTACGAAAACGAAATTCGCGCTGTACAAGACGTTGATTCTGCCGGTAGCCCTTTATGGCCACGAATCGTGGGCATTGAAAGAGGCCGATCGGAGGGCTTTCGGTGTCTTCGAGCGTAAAGTGCTGCGAACAATACTCGGCGGTAAACTGGAAAATGTTGTACCAAGAATATAACGGCATGGATATTGTGAAGCTTATAAAACACGGCAGGCTACAGTGGGCTGGGCATGTGGCACGAATGCCGGAAGAGCGTCAAGCGAAGTCAATATTCAGCAGGGAACCCGGAAGAGGACGTCGGTTTCGGGGTAGGCCACGCACGCGTTGGCTTTGTGCAGTTCTTGAACGTCCAAGGCGACTGGAAGCGATTGGCTCAGGACCGGGACCAATGGAGACGGTTACTTCGTTCGGCGCAGATTTGAATTCAACGAGTCGTCGTCCATCAGGTACTCAGGTAGGTAATTTCTATTAATATATTATTTGGAAAACAAAAATAGGTTATTGGATAGTCAAGAAACCAGACGCTTCATATCTGGTGATTTCAAATTTGAGACTGTATACATTTTTTTAGACAGCATGATGTTCTCATGACTATTACTTGTTAGAAAG